GTATTTATTTTTTGACCGAGAGAGTGCAAGCATGAGCTAGGGAGGGGTAGAGAGAGAGGGAGACACAGAATCCGAAGCAGGCTCCAGGCTCTGAGCTGTCGGCACCCCAACGCGGGGCTCAAACTCACGAGCCGTGAGATCATGACCTGGGCTGAAGTCAGATGCTTAACAGACTGAGCCACGCAGGCGCCCCTGGGTCTTAAACTTATTATTTTTTTTAACGTTTATTCATTTTTGAGAGAGGGGGAGAGAGAGAGAGAGAGAGCGCGCGCGCGCGCGCGCGAGCATGAGTGGGGGAGGGGCAGAGAGAGAGAGGGAGACACAGAATCTGAAACAGCCTCCAGGCTCTGAGCTGTCAGCACAGACAGGGGCTCGAACTCACAAACTGAGAGATCATGACCTGAGCCGAAGCCGGACGCTCAACCGACTGAGCCACCCAGGCGCCCCTTAAACTTATTTTTAAGGAAGGCCGTGCCATCCCCCACGTAGATTTGATCCCCCTTAGCCCTAGATGGTGAGTTTCCTATTGCTTCCATTTAAAGTGCACAGCCGAACACCATTGCCCCAGAGGCGAATTCCTGTGGGCTCTGTCTCAAACTTGACCTTTGGAAAACGCATTTACAGCTCAGGTCTGAAAAAAACCAACAGAGATAAGGAAAACGACCTTGCAAGGACATTGGTGCAGAGTTTATCAAATCCTTTCAAGACCTCGAGGTCGGAATACCTATCTAGCCCCGGTACTCGAGGCCCAAGGTTAATTACAGAAAGCTACGCGAGGTCTGACAGAAATTAAGGTCCGTGGTTTTCAAACTGACTCTGACCTATTTCAAGGAGGCATTCCAGAAAAAGGCTTGGGGCTTCAGGGTGGGCTGGCCTGAAATTAGGGGTTCCCTAGACTTCCCCTCACTTTCAACCAGTTAGTACAGACTTTCTTATTTTATATAATAGGCGCTGGGATAACTTTCCCCATCTATTTGTGTGTGTGTGTGTGTGTGTGTGTGTGTGTATATTAAAAAGCAGCTGAAATAATCAGACTCCATCCTTTTCAGCTGAGGCCCCTGAGGTGCAGAAAGGTGCACTGACTTCCCCAAGGTCACTTATTGTTTGGCTAAAAGCTATTCCTTGTATCCCTCCTCCTTTGAAAGCTCAAAAGCCGGGCCCTCTGCCAAGTCTGTTCAGTGTTCGCTCCTCGCCCTCTGGGTCAGCCCTGATTCTATTCAGTGGTGCTGACCTGGCTGTATTTCCTTGGCGTTCAGGGCTCCTCCGTGCGTGTTTGGAAAACAAAACACCGTTCAGGTGTTCCTGGGGCGGCGCTGAGTCCAGAAGTCGTGTATCTGCTTGAACTTTCAGGAGAATAAGGCCACAAATAAAACACACAGAGGAGACTCTCCATGACATTTTTGCAGTTAATAATAACGGGTATGTGGTCGTTTCCATCTCACCGTTCCTGTTCGCTAGAAACTTCTTCATCTGGCTTTGCGACAGATAGACTGAGAAGTATTTTAATTCTAAAAGTGGTTCTCCACCCGCCTAAGTGTTCAATGCCTTTATGATCTTTTGCCTAAAAAACTTAGCTGCTAATCCCCGCTGCCTCGGTTCACGCCCCAGAGACACTGCCCACAGCCTGGCCTGTCAGCGCCCATGTGTGGCTGGTTCTACAGAAATATAGAAGCAGAGTTCTGGGACCTGGTTTCCTATCTCCCAGCTTTTACTCCTCTCTCTGCCCCTGGCTCTATACCATTTCTATTTCTAACCCCCGTTTCTTCTCCCTCTAATTGTTCCCGATGGGACCAACACTGGCATTCTTGTTATTTCCAAAGAGATACTGAAGTCATCTGCTCTGAGATCTCCTGCAAGGGAAACGTAGATTCTTGTTCTGAAAAGACAAGCACCCGATTGTTTTATTTAGGTACCTATAATTACCGAGAATTTGGACGAAGATATTGGCTCTCATGCTACTTAATTACATATTCAGAGATGTTATCTAAAAAATCCTTTGGGCGTCCTATATATACGCGGATATTTTTAGTTTCACTTTTGCTTCTTCTATCCCTGAGAAGAGTTAGAGAATATCTAGCTCTCCTCCAAAAAAAGAGAATCCCCAAGAGCTTGTAAAAAGCAAGTCTGAAGGTATTAATTAGTAATCTGCAGCACTAAAAAGTGGTTTGCTATCCTCCCTGACAGTCTTTCAATTATTTACTAGGATTAAGATCTTGCACTTGGTCTCAGGTAAACCTCTAGGGTAGGGAAATGGTTGTCGCCGCGTGTTTCTAATGTCCTATAACATTTGAGTACTGTGCAGTGACACGAGGGAGGAGTTTGACCCTTTTCAGAGTTTGGGAAATTTCTCCCTGTAAAGCCTCCAACAGGACTCCTTGCTGGGTATACTGGTAGCTGGTGGGTTAAAATAACTAATCTTTATGGACAAAGGGGCTTTTCACAGGCTTTTGCCTCAAGGGCGGGCCTGCAGGATGGATGTTTATCAAACAGAAGCTGCAGAGATTAATCCTCGCATCCGAGAGAAGTTTTGTCATTTGTCACTATTTTATTGGTCCTTGTCCTGCAAATCCAGCCATAATATCTCGGCAGAGAGGTGAAACTATGCTCTTCCTCATTTAATTCGTTTTGAGCATTGTCGTCTTTCCTACTTAGGACGGATCTATTTCCACTCTGACTTGAATTTACATTTAGAAGTAAAGCCTGTCCCTCGAGAGAGATGAATTTTCAGCTTACAACGTGTGCTTGCCCCTGACCGGTGACTTTCTCCAGGACCACTGCAGGGTACTTTTTGGCTTGAGGCTGAATGTTTGAACTTCCCATGACTGGAGCTGAGAGCAGGTGTCAACTTCCCCCTGAGTCCTGTACCTGGGGGGACGTAGAGGTGCTGGGATTAAATCAGGAACCTTTTAGGAGAGAGGAGCGTGTACTTGGCAGGCAGCCAACATTGTCAAGTCCAGTTAACATTCTCACAATTTCCAAGGTCATCTTCTTCTTCTTATTATTCCTAAAGTGTAAAAGTAATCTTGGCTTTTTGCAAGGCCTCAAACAGTTTGGTCCTTTACAAATTCATTCCTCCGAACAGTACTCTTTGGCGCCCCCCACAGGAGCTTCTTGAAGCCAGGTACCACGCCTGGCTCTTCTAAATATTCTTGGCACTCAGCACAGGTTCTGGGTGTGTCGTAGGCACATTTCTTTGCAGAATAAACGTGTGCCACTTATTCTCCGAATTCTCCCAGGACTTAAGGACCCTGGACTTTGTGTAAAACAAAGCAAAGCCAAAGAAAGGGGCCACCTTCTCCCCCTTTCTCAGTGTTGGCATTTTGCTTTGATTTTATTTATATAAAGGCTATGCCAACTATAAATAGCATTAAAACTGATTTTTTTGGGGGGGTTATTAACAGGGTGACAATGTTTTTGTTAACTTGTTACTGATATTAATTTAAGGACATTCGTCATATTTTAAAATAGGTTGTCTGCCTATTCCTATTTTAACCTACCCTTAAGTCCTTTTTTTTTTTTTCCACCTGCCTATTGCAGGGATAAGAGGAAGGGAAAGGGTGACAGAAAATAGAATTGCATTTTAGCAGCCCCTGCGTGCACTTGATGTGTTTCTTAAACTATCTCCATACTGCATTGACTGTCCTAGTTCCATTTTAAAGATAACCTGGGGCACCTGGTTAAGCGTCCGACTTTGGCTCAGGTCACGATGTCCCGGTGGTGAGTTCGAGCCCCATCTTGGGCTCAGTGCTGACAGCTCAGAGCCTGGAGCCTGCTTCCGATTCTGCCTTTAACCTCTTCTCTCTGCCCCTCCCTTGCTTGTGTGCTCGCTCTCTCGCTCACTCTCCCTCTCACTCTCCCTCTCTGAAATAATAAATGAATAAACTTTAAAAAATAGAAATTAAAGGTAAACTAAAAAGACACACTGGCAAGTGATTTTTTCCAAAGTCTCTGTATTGGTTATCCACGGCTGCTGCCACAAGTTACCCCAAGTTTAGTGGCTTAAAATAAAGTTATTCTCTTATAGCTGTGGAGGTCGGAAGTCCAAAATGCTTCTTATTCGGACGAAATCAAGGCGTCACGGGGGCTACATTGCTTCTGGAAGCTCAAGGGAAGAATCTGCTCCCTTATTTCTCCAGCTTCCAGAAGGTGCCCTGCGCTGACTCGTGGTCCCTCGCCCCATCTTCAGATGACACTCCCCTTGACTTCCTGCCTCCCCCCTCCTATTTCGTAAGGATCCTTGTGACCACACTGAGCCCAACCAGATAATCTCTCCATCTCAACATCATTACTTATACCTGCAAGGTCCTTTTTTGCCGTGTAAAGCAGCAAATTCACAGATCCCTTGGGGTGTGGAAATCATTGGGGACGTTATTCCAGCCCCCACAGTCCTAGCCCCAGAGCATATCCTAATATACCGAACTCCGTACAGAGTTCACCTTCCGTACGTGCACAGAAACAACGTTTTCGGCTCTTTTGTTCGCCCTCTCCTGATATCCTGTCTTGGATGTTACTTAATTTTATGAAGAACTAACATCTGTGTTTGTGTGGACAAATTGGGGCTGATAGCTGTTCAACAATGAACCCTGATAGCAGTGATGCTGTAATTGCTGAGCGATTACCTACAATTGCCGAGCAAAATACATGCAATTCATAGAGGAAGCACCTTGGCAGTTGAATTCCTGGGGAGTTTTAGAGGTTTTTATTTTTTTTTTAATTTTTTTTTTTAACGTTTATTTATTTTTGAGACAGAGAGAGACAGAGCATGAACAGGGGAGGGGCAGAGAGAGAGGGAGACACAGAATCGGAAGCAGGCTCCAGGCTCTGAGCCGTCAGCCCAGAGCCCGACGCGGGGCTCGAACCCACGGACCAGGAGACCGTGACCTGAGCCGAAGTCAGACGCTCAACTGACTGAGCCACCCAGGCGTCCCTAGAGGTTTTTAAAACTGGCCTTGTGGTAACCTGTTGGATGAACTCAGAGCCTTCTCACTTTTGTCTTCTAGGCTTCTGTACAGAAGTACATTGTGAAGAATTATTTCTACTATTACCTATTCAGATTCTCAGCCGCTTTGGGTCAAGAAGTGTTCTACATCACCTTTCTTCCATTCACTCACTGGAATATTGATCCTTATTTATCCAGAAGACTGGTCATCATATGGGTTGTAAGTATCCTTATTACCTTCTAACCACTGCTACTCCCACAACAGTGACCTGCTTTGGCATTCAAGGACGTTGTGTATATGTTCTTTAAAAAAAAAAAAAAATCGCTTAGAGTTGAGTTTTCAGGTGGTTTACTTTGGAAAAGTAACAGGACAAATTAAAAAGCTATGAACACAACTTGTTTTGTCTGCAAACAGCAAGCAAACCCATGGTTCATGTATGTTGTCATACACCCCCGTTTGGGCGAATAAAACGGGAAGAGAGAGATGATGTGATGTGCAGAGAAGAAAGGACATTTCTGGGAGCCCTTGTAGGGGCAGGAAATGCAACCTCCCAAGAGGCCAATTTTAGTACAATTTGGCCCAAAATTGGAAACTAGAAGCTGTTAACTAATAATTGCAAGGGGTCTCAGGAGACCATCTAGTGCCCAGAACTAGGGGCCTGACATGTGGGCGGACTCTGTGAGTCACTACTTGAACATGGTGATGCTTAGCGACTAGTTCGTGAAGGGGAAGGAGTCTCAATGATCGGTTGGAAGGTCAGGTGGTTTCACTGGAGGGAGGATCAGGTCAGGTGGTTTCACTGGAGGGAGGATCAGGGCAAGGTCACCAGCACGGCAGCTGTTTCCCCCGACTCAAGGTTCTGCACTGAAAACAGAGGTTCAGAAGCACTTGGCTCTGTGAACGGAGTCGGGTTCTTGTGCGGCTCTGCTCCGAGAAGCTGTGTGATCTTAAGCAAGTGACTGCACCACGCTGGGCATTATTTTTCTCCTCTGTAGACCAAGTGAGAATGGCCTCGGTCAGAAGCCATAATCTCACATTTCCTTTAAGGCAGGGAAAGGGAAGTGAAACAGTGATACCCCGAATGGGGAGAGTGGGGAGGGTGGTGTGGGCGGTGTGGGTGTCAGTGAGGGTCACCGTGTGGCCCACCCGTAGGGCCACCTGTGGCTGCCATGAGGCAAAAGGGGCTGGAGTTGCCAGATTTGTTTTTCATGGGAAGCCTCCCGTTTTCTTAAATGTAGGCTTACATCTTTAAAACAATGTATGTCCGCTGAACAAAGAATCTTTGATGTCCACGCGTGCGGGGCTTGGTTTGAAGCCTCTAGCCTAAGGAACCATTGAGGTTTCCAGGGCTATGGTTATGATGATTTAGCCCCAAATTCTTCCCGACTTTTTTTTCCCCCTCCTTTACACTCGAAAACACAAGCCACTGGTTCCTTTCCCCATCCCTGTCTCCTAACCAGCTGAGTCTGAAATCTAGCTCCTCTATGAGAATCTGATCTGAGAATCTGCAAAAGCATATATGCATCTTGCAAAAGGGGAACGTTAGCGGAACTGTGCATCTCTCTTTCTGCCTCTCCCTTCCCTACCCCAGAGCAGTGCTACCCTGGGGCAACTGGGAGGCGGGGAGAGCCGATGGGGGCAGGGAGCATTCCCGAAATGCACGAAAGGTGCATGGTGCATTTATTTTCTGGATATGATTATCAGTGTTCCAACATTCATAGTGGTTGAGTGAAGCAAATGATGCAAAATCACTTCTAATAATTTTTCAAGTGTACTGGACTGATTGTACTCCGGGCCAGCTGCGTCCCCCACTGAGGGTAGACCACTTTTCCTGAGGGGCCGGGAGGATCTTGACACCTGATGGTAGTTAGGGGACTCTCTGATTGTCGTCTTGGTTATTTTTCACTGTGGAGACCTCATTGCCAAGTGCTCAAAGGATTTCCTGTGTGAGATAGAATTACCAGCCTTTTGCTGGCCCGAGAACTGACAAAATCTTTGCTCCTTTGAGGAGCAGGTTGTCCTGGGCTTTGGCGACCTGTCACTTGCTTTTAGAAATGGGTGCATGGTCACATGCAAGGCACCCGTGCTCGGGGTTCCATATCTGGGTGGTCAGCTGGGTCCTCAAGGCAGCGTGCGAGGTTCCTAGCTCCTGGTGCGGACAGTGGAGCCCATCCCAGGAGAGATAGATGGAGACAGAGAGATGGAAGGGGAAGGGCAGAAACTGGGGGCAGGGGAGGAGGGAAAGGGGGTGGAGAGGGAGGAGAGGAGGGGGAGAGAGGCCCAGAGAGAGACCAAGAGACAGAGACAGAGAGGCCCAGAGACAGAGAGAGAGAGAGACTGAGAAAGACACAGAGAGAGAAACAGACAGAAGCCCTGAGAGAAACGCAGATTGAGAGAGATTGCAAGGTGGTAGGGGGAGCTCTGTGCTGGCTGCAGAGATAATAATGAGATGGTTTTGGCTCCAGTGGGGAAGGTCGGAAGGGAAGGGGGAATCTCCACAGTGGGGGGGGTGGGGGGGGGGTTGGGAGGAAGGGAAGGGTGGAGCACAGTGAGGTGCTCCTGGATAATGAGCTTCCACCGAGGGGGCCTCTCCCGCATAGGGATATCCTAAATCAGGGGCCGGGTCTCAGGGAGCCTGGAGGAAGTGAAGTTAATTACCTAGGGGTGGAGCTTGGAGCCTCCTAGCTTTAAACATCTGATTTCACCCCAAATCCTTTGGAAGGCAGCTGCGGTCAGGAAGGCCAAACCTGTTGTCAGATTTTTCCACTGCGTTGACAGTTGTCATTGGATGAAGTCTCAACAGGTTTTATTGCATTTAAAAATCATTTGTTATAGTGGGAGTGACTCATACTGTCAGAGGTAGCCGAGCAGGATGTGTGGTTAGATGACGTGCTTCCTTGTCACAATTATAACTGTGCCCCCCACCCCACACATTGTACATCTTTTATTGCTTTTATTGGCATCCGTGTTTATTATTTGATTTCATAACAATGGGTTAGTATCAGTTGCATCATTTTATAGGCTGGGATAATAATACTTCCGATAACAATTAGCCCTAGCCTATGCTGAACCCTCAGCGTATGTGGCCACTCACTGGGATATTGCTTTACATATTTTTATCTCATTCAATCCTGCTGGCGATCCTGAGACGTGGTTACTGCCAGCCCATTCTACAGATCTGGAACTGATGTCTAGAGAGGTTAAATCGCTCACCCAGGATCGCATGGGGTTAAGTGGGTTTGATCCAGGCTCCCAGGGCCTCCTCCTGTGCTGGAGGCAGACACTGCTGTCGCTTCTTAGAACACGCTCCTTTTTTTTTTTTTTTTTTTTTTTAAGAAATGTTAAAGCTGAGGCTTTAAGCATGAAAACACCTTGCCCAAAGTTACCTTCGATTGCACATTTGCTAGGATTGTGCTTCAAGTGTGCCCATATGGCATTTACTAACTATATTCTATTTAAGTGTCTTTGATATAACTTTGTTGACAAGCAAAAGATCTTTCTTTTATCCCAGAAAATGTAGACAAGCCTTTGCAGTTAGCCAAAAAAATGTCAATCCCGTCATCCTTTCCCTCTTCTAGTCACTTATCAGGGTTTTTGACCTGGCGTTGGATTTCACTGAACGGAGAAGCCTGTGAATGGATTATCTAAGATGTGCTAGATCGTGCTTTACAAAGAGTCACCATCCAGAGTGATCATCCTGTCTCTTGACTTCCCTTTTGGTGTGGGGCAGGCCCATCAAAAAATAAAAACTTTACAATAGTATTACAGGGGCGCCTGGGCGGCTCAGTCTGTTAGGTGTCTGACTTCGGCTCAGGTCATGATCTCACAGTTCATGAGTTCGAGCCCCGCGTCGGGCTCTGTGCTGACAGCTCAGAGCCTGGAGCCTGCTTCCGAGTCTGTGTCTCCCTCTCTCTGCCCCCCCCCCCCACTCATGCTCTGTCTCTCTGTCTCTCAAAAATAAGTAAACATTAAAAAAAAAATAGTATTGCTGCATCTTAAAAAGGTTGGAAGCTGTGATACGGCATGGTGGTCGGCTTTGTAACAGGAGGCAAAATTTCACTTCTTTGCAAAAGCAAGTTTTTCTCCATTTAGTGAATAGCATTGCAAATATTGTTACCACAGTTGATCCTTGGAAAGCTTTTTTTTTTCTCGTTCTTAGGATATTTTACTTACTTATATATCTCTTTTCACAGCTATTTCATGGCAATTCAGAATGAGCTGCAAGAAAAAAAATGGGAAAAGCAAAATTAGGGGGAAATACAGATAGAATAGGAGATTAAGGCCTTGTCTGAAGTTCAGTGTAGCCTGTTGCTTCAAAGCTGAGCCACAGATTGGCCTTTGAACTTTGTCGTGACCAAACCAAAATGAAATGAAATTACATCCACTAGGAAATAATCAGCTTATTCCTAAGGGAGCAAATCTCTTCCTGACACATAGAATCATTAAGCTTAGGGATGCCTGTGGCTAAATTATTTTCCTAGAAATATTGTTTCGTATCAGTACCCCCTAACACCTGTGTGAGTACCCATTTTGACTCTTCCTCATAAACTTTGTGTGTTCTCACTTTTTAATCACTGGCAATTTCACCAATGAAAAATGGCCTCTCATTTAGTTTTCATATATTTTTAGTGAAGATGAAAGCATTTTTCAAATTTCCGTCGGCCATTTGTATGAACTCTTCTGTGACTTCTTAGGGTGCCTCTTGAGTATTTTTTAAGTGGGCTTTGATTTTTTTGATTTTTTTTTTCCACCAGTTATAAAATGATACTGAACCATTGATTTTCCATGAATCAGAGGCAGTGTGTCTTTATAAGATTTTTAGAAGTTTGGGACTTTGAGAAATGATGTTGAACTCTATGGTATCATTAACAGTGACTTAAGAAAGTCCTTTAAAATTGAATTTCCGTGCTTTTGTGCTGGGTGTGCAGTTGGGGCACAGACTTTAGCACTCCCTCTTGTCTTACCCTTCGTGACCACCCTGTGGCCCCTTTCAGGTATTTGAACTTGAGATTCCGATTTTCAGGCACCTAATCTTTCTGGCCTATGGTTTCTCTGGCCATAAGCAGTTTACTTTTTGGGCAACCAGTCCCTAGAAAACCTGGCTGTGCTGCCTGAATCCAATAAAGTGAAAATTTGTCTTGAGTTCTTCCTTGTGTTTTTTTTCTCATCGGTCAACATTTGCCTTTTCTACCTAACGTCGAAAGATCGCATCTGAAAGA